TCTATCTATCTATCTCTATCCATCCATCCATCCATCCATCCATCCATCCATCCATCCATCCATCCATCCATCTAACCATGCACCCACCCATCCATCCATCCATCCATCCATCCATCCATCTACCTATCTATGTATCTATCTATGTATCTATCTATCTATCTATCTATCTATCTGTCTGTCTGTCTGTCTATCTATCTATCCATCCATCCATCCATCCATCCAACCACGCACCCATCCACCCACCCATCCATCCATCTATCTATCTATCTAGGGAAAGATCCAAGGGTTATATTCTGGGCATGGGTCTCACAGACCTGCAAATCCTAGGATCCCATAGCATTTTATTTATTTGTCGTGTCAGGGCAACCACTCAATTGTATTACATTTCTAACAGAACAAAACAAACAAACAAACAGACAGACAAAACACAAAATTTGCAAACCTGGAATGGAGGTCTCTAGATTTCAGATCTCCCCTCCTTTCTCCAAAGAACTCTATTCCATGTTTTGCAAGCTGCTTCAACAAAAAACAGAGAATCAAAGGCAGATGTTTTTCCTCGCATAATAGTCGCACCCTCTTTATTTTAATGAAAAAAGGGAAACTATTATGCAATGAAATTGAGGTCTCTAGATCTCGGATCTCCCCTCCTTTCTCCAAAGAGCTCCATTCCAAGTTTTGTTAGCTGCTTCAACAGAAAACAGAGAATCAAAGGCAGATGTTTTTCCTCGCATAATAGTCGCACCCCCTTTATTTTAATTAAAAAAGGGAAACTATTACGCAATGAAATTGAGGTCTCTAGATCTCAGATCTCCCCTCCTTTCTCCAAAGAGCTCCATTCCATGTTTTGTAAGCTGCTTCAACAGTAAAGAGAGAATCAAAGCAGATGTTTTTCCTCGCATAATAGTCGCACCTCCTTTATTTTAATTAAAAAAGGGAAACTATTATGCAATGAAATTGAGGTCTCTAGATCTCAGATCTCCCCTCCTTTCTCCAAAGAGCTCCATTCCATGTTTTGTAAGCTGCTTCAACAGTAAAGAGAGAATCAAAGCAGATGTTTTTCCTCGCATAATAGTCGCACCCTCTTTATTTTAATGAAGAAAGGGAAACTATTATGCAATGAAATTGAGGTCTCCAGATCTCAGATCTCCCCTCCTTTCTCCAAAAAACTCAATTCCATGTTTTTTAAGCTGCTTCAACAGAAAACAGAGAATCAAAAGCAGATGTTTTTCCTCACCTAATAGTCGCACCATCTTTAATTAAAAAAGGGAAACTATTATGCAATGAAATCAGATCTCCCCTCCTTTCTC